AGCTACTAAATGTCCTGCTCTATGTACAGTTGATCAATCCATGATGGTATAATGTCATTGAACGCTCCATTACGCTTTTGTTCTAAGCTAAATAGTTGCCCAGTGTTCCCAGGTGGAACTTCTTTCACAAAGTAATTCACCCAAGAAATATCAGGTTCATCTATACCAAAAAGATGCTGACTTCCACAGCTTGACTATACCTAAAAGTTGACGTAGAGCGATAAAAATGAGTGGTGGTGCAGAAGTTCATTGCCAAATCTGTCGAAATTATGCTTGAGATTTTCTTGTGTAGAGTTAAAATAAAATTCACAAGAAAAAACTTAGCTCTTAATATAAATTAAATCTGATTAATTTTTAAAATATGGAATATGATTTTAAATGATAAGTAGAATGAAAGCAGCTTTACTGTCGGCCCTAAGGATTTGAAAGGGGGTTTAGGGCCACAAAAAAGAACATATAGACTATGACGCTTTCAGATGAGAAACAATGTGAATGCACAAAGAGCTGCAGTTGACTTTCATTCCTTAAGAAAAAAGAACAATGCGACATCAGAAGATCATCATGCCTTTTTGGTAAGTTGTTAGCAAATTTTTGGATGACAAGCAGCTCAGCTAAAATGGGACTTGTTGGACAATGATCTTGTTGTACATTGTATTTTAGTTTTTTTTTTATGGTTAATCTTTTGACCCATTTTCAAATTCATTTGAAATGTAAAAAGTTTGTCTTTGAAATCTAAAAGCGGCACTGAAAATTGAATCAAAACACATAACAAGATTATGCCAAACGGGCTCCAAATGAATCCCAACATAATAAATTGTAGCATTGGAAGGAAAAAATAATCTTTTTTTTTTCCTTTTTTTAAATGGCACCTTAATTAATGACTACAAAATAATAATAATAATTACCTTCTGGTAAACTCATTATTTCCAATGCGTCCTCTGCATAAGACATCCGTTTTGGAATGAACTTATTAGTACTCCTCCTGGTAATAATTACCATCGTCGTTGTGAGAGAATCACTCCACTTTGGCCATGTGAGCACACTAACAACAGTTGGAAATATAGAGACAAAATCAGCATATCTAAGATTTACAGTCACTTTACGTAGAAAAGAAGCCACATCTGAAATGTTATAAAACTATTCTACAGACAATTCGTTGTTTCTATTATATCCTGCACATGTGAAGAATTTCAGAAAAGTGCATAAATTAACTTACCAATTGTAATCATTAATGACGAATTCAACCAAGTGTGGTGTGGAAGACTAGTATAAAGCTCTTTAATTTGATTTCCGTACATTTCCTTAATAACGTGCACCTGCAAAAGAATTAGACCAGTTGACTTAATTTGGTAATACGAAAAAAAGAAAACGTGAACAAATTCAGGTATGTATACGTGGCGGCAAGTATATGCATCCAGGGGTTTAAAAATGGCATCTTCCATTAGAGAAGGACATCAGTAAAGTGGTGGAAAACAAAAATTATTTTCCACAACAAAGGGAAAAGTGGGTATTTTTTATACCGAATAAATTAAATTTATTTAACTCTACTACCACTTCATATCAAAACAAAAACCAACAAGCTCTCAATAAAAACAATCATACATGTTTCCATCGATCAACAAACTCCTGCAACAATTCTCCAACATGATCTACGAATTTTTGGAGTGCAAACATAGAAAGCCCACGTCAAACAAAAATCAAATAGGTAATTATATATCAAATGATTAGTAAAAACCATCCAAAAAATATTACCAGAGCATTAGAAGAAAGGTATTCATTTTCTGCTTCACGTATTGGCAAGAAAAAAGTCACGGTATGCGACAATCATCTTATCAAGAAATGACTTGCTCTTAAGTCGCAGTGCAACACCTCGCAAAGTTCTCCTGCAATAATGCAGAATCAACAAACAGTTCATTCAATAGAAATTTAGAATTTATGATGCAAAGTAACAAAAACAATTAATGAAAAAATCAGATGAAATCATTTCATCTATGTCGCGTTCTATAATTCCAGCAATACACCTAACAACAATTCAGGAAAGTAACATACACGTCCGAGATTCCACCCGAATAATGAATATTTATATCTACCTGTGAACAACTTCTCGTACAGAATGCCAATCCTTGCCCCCCCCCTCCGAGCAACATATCACTTGATTCAAAAAACGGGATATGTATGACCAGATGAATTGACTATAAAAACAATAATTCTAGATCAAAGAAACGATATTGCCAAAGTAAACATATATTTGCTAAGTCCTAACGACCCATGCAACACAGAAAGGAAATCTTAAATCACTTAGTAGGATAGCAATGAATTTAGTAAATTTCAGCAGGTAAGATCAATCCAAAGTCACAGAATAAGGTCACGATAGAGAACCCATACGAATTAAGTAAATTGTGCCTAAAGAATAAGAAAAGAACTTAACGACCCATGTTGATTATAAAAGTATGCATTAATCTACTAAACTAAATTGATATCCAAGAAACTCAAAACCGAAGGAGTAAACCACACCAATTGGGACTAAAGTAGCCATCAAATTTTAAATTTATGAAACCGAAATCAATTAACCGAATTAAATTGACCACTAAAACCATAAAAGACAAAAATATCAAATATGATGATAGAAGATGACAAAAAATCTTATGGATATGCACGCATATGTAGATATACCTACCAATGTTAATGCAGCTTTGAACCAAAATAAAAAATATTTTCAGGGCAACTTGACCTGTAAAACTCAAAAGATTATGGTCTACCAATCTTTATCAAATGATAATATAGGGAGTGCAAATTACCCTGATTCATGTGTGCCCACAATGTAAGAATTCAGCACCACAAACTTCAAAATCCTCTCTTTTAACTCTTGCATAAGACGAATGATGAACTATCAACTCTTTCGTAATCTCCACAATACATAAAGAAATACATTTTCCTTATTGAAAGGCAACATATCAGATGAAAGTAATGCCTACCTACTCGGACCAAATATTGCAGATGCTTTAAATTGTGAATATCAGAAAAATTAAATTCTAATTTTCTAAAAATGTCCTAATAAACTCAAACGGGAAAAATTCCTTTCTAAACCCAGGGAAGCGCCAAATTTGGAGGAGCTTACCAACAGCTACAACGATAAACTTGCCGTCGGGGCTGAATTTGGCGATGGCGACGTGGTGTTTGAAGCTGATCCTGTAGAGCACCGCGCGGCGGCGTAGGTTGAAGAAGAGGCAGCGGTTGTTGTCGTTGATGGCAAGCAGAAAGATGCCATCCGCCAAATTCACAGAATCTGCTTAAAAACCACCACCTGGTTGTCCCCCTGAGAAGCCCTCCATCTGCTTAAAAGGGCGCAATCCATAGAATCTAAACCAAAAACATAAAAGGAGGATCTTTTGGAATTACAATAACGATTAACAACTGTAAAAAGCTCATAGCACATGTGAGAAAAAACGATGTTGCACAAAAACAGAACAACCCAAATAATAGAATAGTTTTTTAATCAAAAGAAGCTTACAATAATTGTGGAGAAAATGAAGTAGAAATGGAACTAAGAAAACATATTAAAAATAACAATAATAGCTGAATCAATCAGAAAGATACCTTAATGGACCGGAAAAGAAGTGGAAGAAGAGGTGTTGGATGAAGTTTGCTGCAACCGGTAGTCCGAGTTTATCCGGTGTTGTTAATCTAGCTTATTCATGCGTAAGAGACTTCAGCTTGAAGGAGAAGAGCCCGATTCATAGATTTCTAATCCGTATACAAATTCGGAGAATTTTCGATATGTATTCCAAATCTAGATTCATAAATTTCGATTTGTATTCTAAATCTATATCATAGACACGAATTTCTTAATTCTGACAACGCTGCCAAGTTCGATTACTTGAAAAATTTGGCGATTGTTTTCTTCTTATTCAGAGGAAGTTCAATTTTAGTGAAGATGGTTGTTCGACAACTGGTGCCGTTGTTCTCCTTCGGCGGCTCGACATAATGGATCTGTTGCCGAATGTGGTTTTTGTGGTAATAAGGAGAACGACAAACGGTGATGGGTGCCAGTGTAGGCAGAGAAAGCATTGTCTTAGTTTTTTTTTTTTTTTGGAGAGAAAGATGAGGTGAACGTCGAGTTTTTTTAGGTGGCAGTGGAGGCGGAACCTTTTGGGTTTTTCTTTTATATAAATATTTCTGGGTGAGGCAGACAAGGTGGATTACGAGGGTAAATGAGGGATTTTGTTATGATTAGTGAGAAGTATAGAACGATGTCATTTTATCGGTTGGGGTTTTTCACCACAAAATCTCACGGAGAAGCAGAAACGACGTCATTTTTTTGGATGATTAGGGTTTTTTTTCTCAAGAGCTTACGGATTTATTTATTTTTTGGATTGGGATGTATTTATGAATTTTTTTTTTACCTCTAATAAGTCGCTGAGTGTATTTTTTTGTATTGGGAATGTAAAAAGGTATATTGGAAATCTACAAAGGTGTATTGGGAATGTAAAAAGGTATGCTGGGATGGGCTAGATATTAATTAAAAATTTTGAAAATATGAACGAAAAAATGAACCAAACCGTACACTGAATTTGTGAAATTTCGTTTTTACCCCTAATAAGTGACTTAATATTGTGAGGAACTGTATTAAAAGCTTCCGATTTTAAATTTAAAATTTAGTGAGAAACTGCATTTATGAAATTTCGATTTTGTCCTTAATAAGTCGCTGATGTCATATCAACTCCATCCGACGGACGAAATCGCTTTGAAGGTGGTCCTTGAATATTTCCTGGGCATTTAATTTCTTGCTTACTGTGACTTTATATTAAGGAAAAGGATAAGGATAAGGAAGAGGATTGTATCTACGGACTTTAAAGACTCAAAAAGGATTAAAAAAATAAAAATAATAATCAAGAACAAAGAATGGGTGTAAAAGATTTGTAACAAATACGATCAAGGATGATCACAAAGGCCATGACGACGTCGTGTTCAAATCCGGGTTGTATCGTCAGCCGGAAAACATCATGTCTTAGCAAAAGGGTAGAGTTAATTCTTTTCCGGGATACGGTCGCCACCAGTCGGCCACCATTCTCCACCGCCGTCCGCCGTAACGATCTTGCAATTCCGCCTCCTGAAACAACCTTGTACCCTTAGATCAGGTGTCATCGACGACGACGTCCGGCCGGTCGTCATCGTCTCGCCGGCGCCGATTGCTTCCCCAACAAAGAATACTTCGGCCTCGCATGAAGAATTATTATTGAAATTTCCGGCGACGATCATACTCAACAAAGATGAAGAATGCCACCTCATCGTAAATTCCAGCGGGGATGAAGTGCTGCTGCCGTGTTGGTTTAGTTCACCTCTATAAGCTGTCCACTCATGTTGGAGGCTCATCGGCTGCATTGTAGCTATAGAATTAATATTGCTTTAAAATTATGAAATTCCGTGTTACTGAACAATTCAGTAAAAAATAAAAATAAAAAAAAAATTAAATGATGGTAGTTCAGTCGATTAAATGGTTTACAAGCAATAGAAAAGCAATAACCATTGGATCATTAGCTGAGCCCTTCATTTAACTCGGCTAATTCTCCAAGAAATTAAACCACGAGAGAAAATTAAAAAAATGGCCTTCTTTTATTTTTTTTATTACTCCTTCCGTCCCATAATTATTGTCCAGTTTAGAATTTCATTTTTAGTACGAATTGAACTATAAGTGAAATCCTAAATTGGAAAATAATTTTGGGACAGAAGGAGTATTTTATTTGGTCATATCTACTGTTTGAGTAAAATATGATTTAGCGGTATGGTCCATCGAGTCATGAGTTCAGTTAGCTAGTGTGTAGTGTGTACGATCCGAACCATACTTCCTCGTGTTTCGCAAATGTCTGCATGTGAGTTTGTTGTTTACTTGCGTGAAACACACTAGCTAGTTAGTTTCTAGACTGTCCATATTGAAAGATCAAAGATGTAGGCCAGGTTAGAGAATTGATGGAGCCATTTTTTAGGGTCGAACAGTTGAGCGCTCTTATTATTTCATTTGAGCGTCCTCAAAAGACGGATACGCCCTTGCAAATGGAGGTAAGTTTTTTCTTTCGAAAAAGGGGGAGGGAGAAACGCACCAGCCGTGCAATAAACTCGTCTCCCTTTACATGGAAGCGAGACGGCTTTCGCCATAGGCGAAGGTGGTGGCGCCAGATTTGGCGCCACCTTTCTCCGGGTTGGTGCTCGCCAACCACCCGAAACGGGCGCCACCCATTTTTTTTAATTTAATAATTTTTTTATAATTTGTTAATATATTTAATATTTATTAGTTTAATAAATATTATTATTAGTTTAATAAATTTATTTAATTCATGTATTTATTCTATTTGAGTATTTGTTTGGTAGTTTAATATTTGTTTAGAAAATTAGGGTTTATGCTACTTAGGGTTTATGATACTTAGAGAATGTTTTTTAATTACGTATTTTGTTCATAGGTTGTAGTTGTTATATTAAATGAGTTAATTTCTTGTTAATAATATATTTAGATTTTTATATATTTTAATTATGTTAATTATGCAGTATGTTCGTATGAAATAGTTTGTTTCTTATTAAATAGGTGTTTAGGTAGTATGTTAATGGGTATAGGGTTTAGGTGTTACAGTTTACGATTTTTGTTAAAATAATGAGTTTTTGTTAATAATATATTTAATTTGTTATTAGTATATATTAATTATCTTTAAAGTATAAGATCATTATATCAGATTATATATTTTATTTTTTACTCATAGCAAATTATTTTTGGTTTAATATTATTAGAGTTAATTTAAGTTATGATATAATTTGTTTTTAATGTGTGCAGGATAGGTTTCATCAGGGGGATGGAGTCTATTATAGTCCGGCTTTTGCTACAGACGAGACTTTTGCCAAGAACAAGGAAGCTGTTGCATATGCGAAGGGTATTGCAAATATCTACAACATGGAGTTAAGTGTATCTTCGCACAAGGATAATAGTACTATACTCCTTTGTCATAAAGGAGGGCGGTACCAAGGTAACAGGTGGATGAAAACGTGTGCGCCCGAGTCAATACAAAGACACAGATGACCGGATGCCTGTTTCGCGTTACTATTTACAAGATATATGATAGGTGGAGGATCCGTGTATATCCAGGTCCGTGGGAAATGCACAACCATTCATTGAAAGATCCACCTCGAGTCAGGAGGCCATTGAGTGCAAAAGTGAAAGAGCTTATTAAGGAGTACTCTAAAGCTGCGACTAAGGCAGTCCACATTTTACGGGCGATATGGACACAATTTCCTGATGAAAAGGTTACCTCCAAACAAGTCTACAACTACAGAAATCAATTGCGTAAGGAGGGGTTTCCAATTCTAGATGACCTGGCTGCCATGGACGTTGTGGGAAAGGTGTTAGAGGTCGCAGAACAACACAAATACATCATCTTCACGGAGTGCGATGAAGAGACACAGAGGTTATCCCACGTGTTTTTCGCACATCCGGATTCTTTGTTGCTGTTGCGGACGTATCCTTGGGTTGTTTGTGTAGATTCCACATACAACACAAACAAATATAAAATGCCATTTGTGGAGTTTGTTGGAATGACCCCTTACAATCAGACCTTCCTTATAGCATATGCTCTTCTGAGTGATGAGACGGGGGACAGCTACCATGGGCGCTGTGGCAGCTCCATAACTTGTATGGCGATGATCTGCATCCGAGTGTCATCATGACTGATCGGGAACCTGGACTGATGAGGCCTCTTGATGATGTATTTCCATCATCACATCACTTCTTGTGTACGTGACACGTTTACAGGGATGTTGAAAAAAATGTGAAAAGAATTTTGAACTGAAATGCGCATGTAGCAAAAAGTTTCGCGTACAAGGCCTTTAAAACAATGATCGAAGCTACAAATCGGGAAGAATACGAAGAAAAAGTACAGTTTCTAGAGCATAATTGGTCCCAATTTCAGCCCGTTCTAGAGTATGTTAGGAAGACATGGTTAGTGGTGGCGGACAAGTTTGTGCATGCATGGACCAACACTTATTTGCATCTTGGCAACACCACTACTTGTAGAGTGGAGAGCGCACACAAGTTGTTAAAGGAATGGCTCGGCACTGCGAATGCTTCTTTTGAAACGGTCTGGCACAAGGTTCACATGTTACTGGAGACACAGCTTACGCAAATAAGGTACTGGATTTTAATCTCTTTTTAGTTAATTTGTGTGTTTAGTTTGTTTAATTAATTTGTTATAATTCCTCCACAGGGAGAAATTGCAAGAATCAAGGCAGAAAATTGGGAGGCAACACAACAAGTACCCTTTCTACCAATTAAAATGCAATGTTTCACACTACTGCTTGGATCTATTGAACAATGAGTTGGAAAGGGCACAGCAACTCAGAGATGATGTATATTGGGAATTCAATCATTACCTGAAGCAAACTCATTCCATCCCTTGTGCATGTATACTTAAGCGTATAATGGAGGCCAACGAGATTTTGACTCCAAAATAGTTACACCAATTTTGGAGCACACTTGACATCGGTGAGATTACAGAGAAGGATAGTTCGGATGATGTTCCCCCTCACAGATTGTTGTTCAGGTAGTTAGTGGAAGAATTGGACGCTGCTGAGGAGCCAATATAGCGCGAGATCACCAAATTGATGTACAACAAACTTCACCCGGGCCAAGCCGGATCAAATGAACCGCGGGTTGGAAAGAGAGGCAAGGGCAGTCCGAAAAAAAGAGGCATCTCAAAAAAAAAGCAAGACAAACCAAATGTGTGGGTATACAGGGACGGCAGTTAGGGTGGCACCAATACCAGCGGTTCCAGTAAAGCAGGTACGAGCCAAGGTACCTCGGGTCAAGGTGGGACGAACACCCACAGTTCCGGTAGAGGCCATACGTCGGGAGCTGAAGATTAGAGCAGAGGTCCGATATTACTTTATCTTTTTAAATATGCAAAATATTATTTTACTTGGTTTAATTCAAGCACTTTTGTTACATGGCGTGCAAGAGCAGGTACATGGACTGGGCAAGGTGGAACGAACACCAGCAGTTCCAGTAGAGGCGACACGTCGGGTTCTGAACCCAATGGCGGAGGTACGATTATAATTTATATTGTTCTTAAATACTGATATGTAATCCAGAAATAATGATATTATTTTACTTGGTTAAAGATGTGATGCAGACAGACTTTTTCAAGTTTAGGCATAAAAATAAGATTCCGCAGATACTCCACAATCATGTTCAGTCATATCTTGATGTCGCTCCTGACGGCAATTGTGGTTTCCGCGTCTTTGCGAGTTGCATGTTGGGAGGGCAGAATAATCATGTTTTGTGCAGACAAATAATGTGTGATGAGGTTATAAATAACCCTGGGTTGTACGGGAACCTTTACGGGTATGAATAGCCAGTTTAATTTTGTGAGCGGTTTTAATACGCTTGCATCAATGTTGTTTTATTTAAAACCTTCATTTACTTGTCTTTGTAGGTGGGAAAAATTACCTAAAAGCCTAGAGCGTATATAGTGGACTGGTACCTCCGTAGGTCACTAGATGTCGACAGATGACTTTTATCCCCTTGCTACATATTTCAATGCTGTTGTGTACTACTTCAGAACAGACGGTGCTGCAAATCTAAACGGCACCTGTTGGACTGTACTGCCACTGATCGCATGAGGCTGGGCAACAAGACCAGAGTTCCAAATAGTTATTTGCCACCTTGAGCCTTACCAGCACTTCATTCGACTCAATCTGCATGGTGATTTTCCAATTCCCCCTATTCACCCCATTTGGCGGCACGATCATGATAGTAGTGTTATTGGTTGGGAAGTACCTCTTGAACCCAGAATGCAGCTATGGCGTACTTTGGTCCCGATAAGACCCACACGAGAATTTTGTGATCTCGGGTGATATGTTGTTTATATATATTTTTTTTATGCAATTGGTGAAATTTTATGATCTCTTTACATAAATGTTCACATAAATGAAAATAAAAATTGAAAATCAACATAAGTCCATAATGTTCACAAAAACGAAATCGTTACATAAATGTTTAAAAAAAAAGCACTGAGTAGAATGTCATGGGGCCTGACTGTGACAGAAGATGACATCATCCAGGTGAGTATCTCACTCCTCACCAAGACCCAGATCGAGTTTCTTCACATCACATGGCCCGCCAGGTACGTCGTCCGTCACAACCCAATCATCAGTTTCTTCGGTAGAAACCTTAGACCGTCTGCTAGTACCTGAAACTCGAATAAAGAATAGTGGATAAATACTTAACCAAATGCAATTAAGAAATTTACCAAGCAGTAATGATTGCTGAAATATTTACAAATACGTACCTGATGACGATGCAGCTGCCTCAGGACGGCTAGAGGCACCAATGGATGCACCACCAAAACGGGAACGAGGCTAACTAGTCAGAGGGGGACCTCTAAAAAGAGTACTCTGCGGGTCAGCATGATGAAGAGTAGTACTGAGACCTCTAAATAAGTACTCTGTGGGCCAACACGAGCACTGGAACCACCAGGAGTATAAGCTGAATTCAGGGCCGATAATCCAACAAGGGTCTTCCCCCTTCGGGTAGGGTGAACTGGAGTCTGATCATCAGTACAACCAATGGGGTTCAGTACCGAGTTACCTCCAAAATGTATATCTCTCTTCTCAGGCGAGGAATACTCGGCCGCCTCATTCTCCTCATCCACATCGTCCCCCCCCCCACTCTCAAAACTATCCTCTGCTGATTCCTCTCCCTCAAAATCATCATCATCATCTACGTTGGCTGATTCACCAAGTGGGCCAAACGTAGGATGTACATTTTTCACTTTCTTTAAATTTTTTTTTCTGCTCGATGTTCTGCATACAGACTATGCGTAACTGCATGCCGATGTCCAGATCCTTCAAGAGGCGAAATCCCATCCTACAAAAGTTTTAAATTTTACACGTAACTTTAATTATTCCTTAATGCGTCCAAAAAAAAATTAATAATTTAGGTTAATAATTTTAATACAATTTTATATTATTTAAATACCTAATTATAAAAAAAATCTACTATACATCTTAAGTGTACAATTTATTAAATCTACTAAGTACAATTAATAATATCTATATATTTTATTTTTCATTTTTTAACCAAAATTAAATAAATATTTAATCTATTATTTAATTTTGACCACGATTAAATAAATATTTTATTAATTCAAATTATCTACTAACCTCTTTTTTTATTTAATTTGTACTTGTTTATTTAATTTTCCTATACTAAGTATTAAACCGACTACGTTTAATATTTAATTCCTATACTAAGTATGCTCCCTAAAATTACAATTGAATTTCTAAAACTACAAAAGTATTATAACTAATTTATTTACTGAAAATTAAACATATACTTTTAATAATAGTGTTTCCTAAATAAATTAAACTAATAAAAATAAATTCCTACCATTAAACTATAAAATCATAAATTTAACTAATAATAAATAATTAAACTAAATTTCATAAGATTTACAATTACTAATAGTAACAGTTAAATTAAAATTACTATACAATTCATAAATAACAATTAAATTTAAATAAATAATATAAAAAATTAATATAATATAAAAAAAAAAACATAAACCGGACAGTAAATCTCGCCAGGCGCTAGCTGCCTGGCGAGACCTTTCTCGCCCCCCCCTCCCCTTTCGGCGGCGAAGAAAGGGGTGTCACCCCAACCCCGGCCGGCGAGGGAGATCCGCGCCGGGGCGAGTAGAGCTGGCGCGCTGATCCGCACTAGCTCTGCCACTCCTTACAGAGCTGGCGCGGATCTGTGCGCCAGCTCTACTCACCCCAGAGCGGATCTCCCTCGCCGGGCGGGGCTGGGGTGTTTTTTTTTTTTTTTTTAAACATTCCTAATTCAATCTATTTGAAAAAAACAATTCAAATTTTTACGTACTTCAGTTTCCGTAACTCTTTCCGTAGCCGTTTCATTCGTTCAGCCATTGAATCTAAGTTTTTGGAAGTTTGGATTGAGAGAATTTGAAATGAAAGATTGATTTAAGAATTGAAAGAATGAAATTGAAACTCTTAATTTATAAAATCATGTAGGGGTGAAAAGATCTTTTGGTATTATATTAGGGCACTCAAGGGAAATTTTTAGGGCGTTTAGTAGCCTCCTAGATTTTTTATACTAAAAGGAGTACCTTAATTTGAATCTGTTGCACGATTTCTTCACGGGAATCTAGTAGGGTTTGAAGAGGTATCAACGACAACAATACTAAAATATAATACTACCTGCGTCCAAAAAAAACACTTTGAGTGTTGAGTTTTGTATTGTTTTTAGTACAAATATGAAAACTTAATGTGAACTTTTTTTTTGGGATGGAGGGAGTAATTAGAATAGAAGATCGAGAAAAAAAAGATGAAAATAAAAGTGACTGCTTCTTATATACTAACAGAAGATCGAGTGCTATTACTTGGATCAATACATGCATAGATGATATATCATTCCTTAAATCCTTAAAAAAATTGACTTCTTGTGTTATGATAGTTGTATTATGTACAACAAACCTAAGTGTGAAAACCTATAAGGTGCCTGTTTACTTCGAATAAGATGAGCTATTTATTAAATTTCAGAACTCCTAAGCTAGCATTCTTACCAAAGTTTGGAGGGATGATCTCTTGTAAAAGAGGACCTTGCATTTGATGGTAAGTTTTGTCATTTTTTTTTTTTTTGGCTGCCTTAGAAGATTTCATTCTCTATCGTTTTTTTCCGTGGATTTTCATAGAGTAGTCCATTTCTCAGTTAGGGACTGAGAGTTGGCAAGTTAGGGACTTTATGTCCCCTCTAGATCTCTTTTTAAATTTTAGTTTCTTTTCCCCTTTCTCCGTCTACACATCCCGAAAGTTATTTTTTTTTTTTTCCCATCATAATTCATGCTTGAGCTATAGTTAAACACTCAATATTTGTGTATGGATTCTTTTGTTAAAATAAATGAATAAATAAACCACGAGTGAACAAAGCTGCAATTTTTAAGATTCATACGTAAAACATGGCTTTTTTCTATTATTATTATTCTTCTTATTATTATTGTTGGCAAAACAAGGGTACAAATAAGATTTTAGTTATAGAGTCGAGCTATAAGAGAAGTATAATCTAGAAAGGCTAAAAGTTTTTAGCGAAGAACAATCTCCAAAGGACCATTAATTGTCGAAATGAAACGAGAGAAACACCTAAAACACTTGGCCAGTCGGCGATCCATCAGGTGAGATCGATTAGGACCAGTATCTCTTCTGAGTTTGTCCTTTGATGTCAATTCTTCACGTTTAAAACCTATTTCTATCAGAATGTATGTATATTAGTTTGTTATTTATTAGTTTGTTGTTTACCTGAAAACCACATATTGGTCATTTTCTTGCGCTGACTATTGAATATATAATGTAGTTGGCGTTTTTGGAGAATTGATGACATGTAGTCTGTTTTTTTTTTTTTTCTTTTGAAATTTTTAGAGTTTATTTACTTCTTTTGCATGTGACTCTTCCATTGTTTTATGTCAGTTGATGATGGACCATTGTTTTATGTCAGTTGGGATAGATGAGAACTATATGACGACCAGGAAAGCTTTAGGAACCGCGGAAGTTTCAGAAACTGGAAATGCATAAAAATTGGAGATAAATCAGTTATTTTAATTATTGCTTGCTACTCCATGATTTTAGACAAATGTTTTAGGACAACATTTCATTATTGCATTTTAGAGAAACATTTAAATAACTTGTTTAAGTAATCAGCACTTATCGACCACACCTATTTATGGGGTATGCAATAATGATTATATACGTTATTGAGAATTGGGTCTTTTGAAAGAGCTGCTGCTAGCTTCATTTTCAAGTGATTTCATCACAACCACAAGGACTCTTATGTTGCATGCATGATTTGATCTATGGAGCAAATATCACCTCCATTTTTATGTACTAGGCTTTGTTTGATAATCAATTAATACAATCACTTAATTTATACAAGTAAGAATGAAATTAAGTGTATTTGATAGTCACTATTAATAAAATACCAAATAAAACTAAGAAAGTTCAAGAAAGTAGAAATCTATTGACCTTTTTTTTTTTTATTGAAATTTACATCTAAAAAAATTTTATTTTGATTTCCCCTACAACCAGTAAATATAAATAATAGAATCACAAATACATAGAAAAGCAGAGATGAAATTGAATATTTATTTCCCAATAGAGTTGAAAGTACCCTATAAATTAATAAAACATTAATTTATTAATAAAATAATATTTATTAATTTATCGTTAAAATAACAATCTATAAATTAATAAAATTGGGTGGACCAAATACTATTAATTTATAGAATTTGTACTGTATCTTTTTTTTTATCACCTCTCATAATTGCTCCTGCTCATTTCTTAAACCTTGTTTTTCTCTTACAAAAATGTTCTCCATGGATAATAATTACAAAAATGCTGATTAAGAAAACTAACAGGACATGCCTAAATTGCTCGGATAATGTTAAAAAAAATATCTTTATTTTACTGTAATTTTGACTGGAATAATTGTGATTCACTTGTTTATAGACGGGCAATAAAATCATACGTTTATCACCTAATGACTTCAGAGTATAAAGCATTTAAAATATTAATAAACTCGTGTATTTCTAGTCAATATGGAGCCTCTACAGCCTACTAAAAAAAGTATAACATGAATGAACAACCTGACCACATTCTGGCATTCTAAAACCAGCTGCTCGGTTGCAAATTTTCAAGCACACAATCAAATCATAAACCAATAATTTCTAATAAAAATAAATAAAATTGTAAAGAATAATGACAAATAATCAAACTATCAAAGAATAATACTTCTTCGTTACACACACACCAACCTTCCAATCTTCCTCAACTCAAATCAAATCAATTCTTCATGATGACTCATTTGAAGAACCAACAGCTGAAGATAATACATTTACCATGATTTCCATGGCTTTTACTCTCATCTTTAAGGCCAAAATATACTCAGCAGCATCAAGGAAAAGCACGTCGATTTCCTTCGATTCGCCATTTGGAATTAATTTCTTGAGTGTTCTTACTTTCCTTTCAATGATGTCATTGCCCGAAACATCTGATGATGATCTTCTTCGGATCTGACGATCGAGATTCGCCCGCCTCTTCTTCATTCGAAAAACCCTTGTCTTAGACATTGGTTTTCTGCATGATGATCGCTTCCTTTTTCCTCCTTGATGAACTTTAAGGACGTGATTGTATAGATTGCTTGAATCTGAAGAAATGAGAAATGGATCATGTAAAGGACCCATATTGGCTAGAGGATTTAATTTCTTGATTGAAGGGAGCAAACTTAGATGCATGTGCTGTGAAGATGTATAGGAATTTGTTGAAATAAAGCCACAAAGAATTTTCAAAGTGGTGATGAATAGTTAGGAGTAACAAGAACAAAGGGATTTTATAGATATCATGGGTTACATGATTCATGAACATTACTTGGGGATAATGCTAAACAATTTAAAAGTAAAGAAAGTTTCGGGGGTCCCTCCATCTCTATGAAATTTTTGCACATTGAAGAAACTAGGTTGCTTCCTAAGTTATGGGAAAATGGGTCGGGGCCAAGGTGAATGTCTATTTAATCAGCTATATGATACACTAAAATAGTAAAACAAAATAATGATCATTTTTATTTTTTCAAACATTAAGGATATCCCTTGTTATAGCCGGTACTCTTTGTGCTCTAGAATGATTATTTAGTTTAGATATTTATTTTTACTATAATCTGTATTAAAAGTAAAAATTTAAATTGGACAATCATTTCATAATAATTTAGTTTTAAATTTGTTTGTTACAATAATAGAAATAAAAATATCGGACATTATTCTCAACATTGTTTTCCATATCATTCGTAAATTTTTGAGAAATGGAAATAGGATTAGGTTACTGGGGGGGAAGGGAATGTTTGTGTTGTGCATGTTCTCCAGCTCAATTAAGGCACATGCATTCACATGATATTCTTCTTTCTTCTAATTAGTAGCAGCCGCCAATTACTTCCCCTTCAAAACACGTACCACACCATCTCCCCGCTTTCATCACATTCGCCGCCCTTACTAAAAACACCCTGTATTATTCCCTTCCATTCCCCCTATTCCCCTTAAAAACTTTCCAAATTCAATTAATGCTCACCTCAACCTATTAACAAAATTTTTGTTGTATATTTTCCACCACTAAAAGAGTTCAGTAATTAACTAGAATGTGGTCATTTTACAAATACAAAAGCTTAAAATTGTGTTAGATGTAACTAACTAGAGTTACAAAAAGAAAAATGTATTCTCTCGATTTAAAGTTATCTTTCCTTTATCATCTGTTATTGAATAATTTTAGTATTTCTTAGCTAAGTCTCAGAGGTACAGATGTTTGTCCACATGTCAATGGTAGATCGATTCTAGAATGATCTTCCCATTTTTTTTTTTTTCCCTGAAATCCAGCTCAATCTACTTGGCATCATAATCCACGTGCACTCTTTACAGCATTCATGCAGCCTTAAAGTCATACCGGATATATGCCGTGCATGAGGCGCTGTTGTCCCATGTTCCCATACGGGAAGCCTCAATTAGTGCTCCAATGATTGCTTGATTAGGATAAGTATCTTCCAATTAATGTTTTTGTCGTGAATAAAACATTGATATCATGTGGGGTGCCGGATTTATACGATGATTTTTCTGACATTAATCAGGGGTGAGTTATCGCGTATCGGATGCCTACGTTGTGCCATTGTATTAATTATTTGATTGGAAAAATCTACCAAGAACAAACGTGTTTGATGATCGAAAATAAATCTTGTAGGAGCAGGAAAATTGTTTAGATCGATGTTGTCTACTCCCTCCTACGTTCTATATAAACAATTGACTTGAACTTGTTAAAATTTTTCGTATAAGTTCAATCAGCGTTGCATTTAGGACTTATTAATTGGTACTCTTTCCGTTTCAAAATAAGTATTATTCTACAACTTATATATAATTTAAGGAATACTAAAATAACATAGGTAAATTGCTATTAATATCTTCAACTAACCTCATTAAAAAATTTGTACTGATAATATTATATTTCTTTGGAAGGTAATTTTAGAAATGTAAGACAAAATGTGCATTGGAATTAGAAAACGACATTGATTTTAGAATTTCTCCCTTTTACTAAAACGATATTTATTTTGAAATGGAGGAGTCCACATTTTCTTGGTATACGGTTTTCAATTTTCTTACAAGTAGATGTATGCACATATACATACACACTATGTTTGAATTCAGCATCAAAGGAAAAAAATAATGAGAATGACTTCGGACTTCTTAGCTAACTTCTGCTACTACGTACCACTAGTTCATTTTATCAAAGAAATCTTAAGATTTTGTGTATAAGCAAAGGTACGTAATCAATCTATTTGAGGGCCGTTCGGTCGCATATCGTAAAAAGGAGCCTTTGATAAATGAAAACTTTATATTAATTCTCTTCCAAAATTTGGTGGAAACTTTTTGTACCTACTTTCCGGGTCGAGTTGAAAAATTGATTTTTCTTAGAAAAGCAAACCTGCATAATGGTTTAAAAAATTATTACAAGGCATGAGAGTAGAAACTATATTATGCATTTCTTGTACGTACTTCTTTCATCGCACTAGAATGTGTAAGATGTGAATTAAAACTATGTTTTGGCTCCCTAATGCAGAAATCACACTTCTTTGGCTCCAACCGGAAGATTCTAGGATAGTAGGAGAGTAATTCTTTTTTCGTCGCGCTTTGAACTTTTGAAATCACTTTCAAAGCCAATAAATCTTTTTTTCTTTTCGGTTACCATGAAGAGGTACGTAACCAGATTTGTACCAGAATTATTGTATAAATAAAGATACAATGAGTAGTACTTAAAGAGTCACCCATGATATAAAGCACCAAATTAACAATGAACAAACAGAAAGAAAAAAAAAAAAAGGAAAAGAAAAATGAAACACAAGTCCTATAAAGAAGTCATCTAATCCGAAATTTTTTTCTTTTTGAAAGTATAATGAAATTTATTTAACTTGCTGATAAATCGTCCAATAACACGGATATAATTGAAGTACAAAGGGCAGGAGTGCATGACTGTATATGTTCCAATATCTTCTCTCAAAGTATCTGTCCGAACTCATAATATTATCGGGTCTTTTCCCTAAAAAAATTCTTTAAAATAAAAGTGGAGAAATTTTATTTTATTTTAAATATATGTGGACATATATATATCCTCCGGATTTCACAAATCCGAAGGTCCATTAAAATTAAACCTTCAGATTTTACAAATCCGACTGTCCAAATAATATTAAAATAATAAGTATTTACATTTTGTGAAAATATAGTACACAAAGTCAGAAAATGAACAGTACACTTCAGAATTGTAAATTCCGAATTCAATAAAATAAAAAAATATAGAAAGAAAATTGAGGAGCGAAATTTTTGAATTTCAACTCCGGAATTTTGTAATCCGGATTAAGGAATTCGGATTTCTGAAATCCGACTATATTAAATTTTGGTTGGTGGAAGTAGGTATCTGTCATAAATTGGAGGACCAAAAAATAGAATTAAAAATCCGTAATTGATTAAACTCAGATTTATGGAATCCGAGCTTTGTAGGATTTGGATTTCTGAAATCCGAACTACTTACTTATTCGGATTTTTGAAATTCGAGTTTAGCGTGATATAAATAAAAAAAATAAGACAGTTCTCGAATGAGAACTGTATTGTATTGGATTTTCTGTTTCTGTGGCTCTTGGTTGGTGAATTGGAGTTTTTGATGCAACCTTACCGCTAGATAATTGGGGATCGTAATTTGAAAGAGGTTAGATTGCAAAACCATGTTAGTTAGTTTATTTTTGTGTTATTTTGATTTTTAGAATGATGGATGATAGATTAGGGTTTTTGTTTGTTGATTGTTTGGATATTTTAGGTTTTGATTTTGAGGTTAGAGATGAGAAACCATAGTTGTTCATGAGATATGGAAGTTGATTTATAAGTATTTTAGGATTTTATAAGTTTTTTGAATTATGAATGGAGTATGCATGGTGTATTTGTTGATTTTTATTAAGAAATGATTAGATATTGGTATTTTTTTTAAACAATTACCAATGGCATGTAATGTATCATACATGCTTAATTTGTTACATACAAGCAAGTATGTGATAGAGAATGGTAGCATCAACACTTTTCCGAATATGCCGGATCATGGCTTGTTTGTTGAGGAAAAGTTGTCATATGTGGAATTGATTAGTAAGATTTGTATGACACTTTGTTAGGATCCAGCATACGTGAAACTCCACCTTTCTGTAATTTTTGATAGTCCCGGTGATAGGCGTGTAGTGAAGATCAAGAATGATTCGCATGTACAGTTCATGAACCGTGTAGCTCCAATGTCATGTTTGGATTTATTACATAGATTTGGAAGATATCACTCACAAAGAAAGAGAAGCGAGTTTGGAAAACAACGTGTTATTTGGTGTTTTTCCAAGGGGAACGTGCTAGTACTTCTCGAAACCGTGATGAAGAGGAGATACCTTTATTTGCACAAGATGACTATATGGAAAGTCGGATCCCGACTACATAGGTCCAAGCGAAAGCGAAGAAGACCGTGAGGTCTCTGCAGATAGTGATTTTGATGAAAGTGATGATGAATTGTTGGAAAATGAGGAAAGGGATCTTAATCCATTGCTCCGACACCATGTATATAGTAAGATGGGGAAATGGGATGCCTCGGTGTGTGGACAATGATGAGTTTGTAAGATGTAGGATGAGACCCCCGAAGGAATGGACATTGGTATTTGTTTCAAATCCTAATCAGAAGCAAAACATGCTATGAAATTATGGAACATCCATCATAAAAGAGAATATACGGTTGCCGCGAGTAGTCCAACGACGTGGGCTGTGCAGTGTAGAACATTAAATGTACCAAGTGAGGATGGTGATCCACCATGTGTGTGGAAGATGTGTGTGTCTTTGAAAGATCACGGCATTCATAAAATTGTGAGATGGCATGATGCACATAATTGCAGGACTCTTGTGAATGATAATGACAATCGGTGTTTGGACGTGTCTTTGATTGCTAGACTCAATAGGAGAAAGGTTGAGGACAACGTAGATTATACGGTAGCCTCGGCATATAAAGATGTGAAGACCTTATTGAAAATAAATGTATTATACAAAGGGCGTGGCACAGGAGGAGAAAAGCCATAGAAGTGGTCTATGGTGATTGAACCTCGAATTTCGAAGAACTTCCTAGGTAAATATCAAATTTTATAATTGTTATGTGTATTAATTTATTTTATTTTTTGGTTACATGTATTGAAATGTTTCAAATATGTCTCGTTTGTTGTGTAGGTATATCGCCGCGCTTAAGTTTACTAATCATGAGACTGTAATACAGTCGGAATGGAAGGAGGGAGAAGAAGGTTGGAAGAGTGGAAATAAGACATTTAAATACGTCTTCTGGTCATTTGAATTGGTGGCTCCGACGTTTCTTGAATG